CGGACAGGATGATCAAGGTACGCGCCGCGGCGGGGCCCCCCGGGGCGCGGGGGTGGGCCCTCTGAGCGCGTGCAGAATCCCGCCGCCGACAGCCGCGGCTCCCCACGTGAGAGGAAGCCAGAAGGCGCCGGGCGCGCCTGGTAGAAGACGTGGATTACACCTCCCATCGTCCCCAGCCCGTGCCTCTCCTGAGGTTGACTACCGCTCCCATCGCCCCAGGTTCGAGGAGGGGCCGCACCGCAGCTGGCACCCTCTGGGTCCCGGCCCTGGGTGGCGGCTCCCGGGTCGGCTGAGGTACAGCTGGCATCATCCCCGGGCAGGTGCCCTCGCGTGGGACTACAGTTCCCCTCATCCTCCGCTGGCACCTCCCACAACTCCCGCAAGTTCGACTGAGGGATGGGACTGAGCCCCCTGGATGATCTGGGGCACAGCTGCTGTTCTTGTCCAACTTGCACGAACACCGGCCTGTAGCTGGGGACGATGAACGTTGTAATCTGGCAACCCAGACCGCAATCCGCGCCCTGCTGCCAGCCTCTCGGTTTTAAAGCTCTAACGTGATTTTTGATTACTACAGGTGGAACTTCTTACCTTGGCCCTTCAGCCTTTCCTTTTTTTCCCTCCCTTCAAAAACAAACAGGAAACTTCTATTTTAGAAGAGTACCATATTAACTGGACTCAGAAGTTGGGAGCTGGAATCAGCGGCCCAGTAAGGTAAAAAGATCTTTTTTTTATAGGTTTGGGATTTAAACTTGGGTGAGAACTGTGAAATATCAGATATTTGAATTAGGCTGTGAATAAAAATGAAAGACTAGGTTGGAACAGAGTTCTGTTGACATTCATTATCAGGCAATAAATGCAGTCATAAGTCAGGATCTTCCATATACTCCCATTAACCAAGTGTTTTTACTGCTGCCCACACAGAGTCTGCATGAAAAAATCGTCTCAAGAACGGTTTGCACTGAAAATCCTTCTTGATCGCCCAAAAGCGAGAAATGAGGTACAGTACACTCTTTATGGAACCGTTTTGGAAATCTATAACAGCCCTCTTTTCCGTTATCCTGAAACAACTTCTGTATTAAGAAACACTCAGTACTGCACCCATTCAAAATACCAGAGTGTGTGTTATAGTACCGTTGCCAGCCAGAGCGATGTGCCAAGTGGATCTGTTCATTTAATAATTTTGATTCCCCTCTTTTCCATCGACTAGATGAAGCGACTGACCATTTTAAACCAACGGAATGTAATATTCCAAATATTAAAATATTGTTGCGAAGTTGACAATAACTTCATAGCACAAAGCCTTGTCATGAATCGTGGCATTGCAGTTAGCTATTAAACTGAATCTAGTTTAAGAGTTTAGCTATTAAACTAAAGACAGTCCCAATCAGTAGAAACCTTGGGTGGGCACCTAAATATCCTGGGCCAGGCCTGGTGAATCTTGAGAGAGGATGACACAAAGTTGGTGCAGTTACCAAGAAGTTGTTTGTTTTCCTATGGCAGCAAGAACTGAAGCAAGGCCTAAATACATGCAGGAGCATATCTAGAAGAATTTGGTTAGGAAAGCATCACTATAAAATTGAGCCCAGAAAGATGCTGGTAGCTTGGTTTTGGTTATTTATTGAAGGCATTGGTATAACCCCAAGTGACTCGGGATCCTGTTTGGATAAAAGTATTTATTTTCCTGGCAAGGCCTTGCTTGGGTCTGGTTATCTTCCAGCCCAAGGCAGGCTCTTTCCGTCAATGCCCGAAGCCTCCCGAGATTCTCCTTAATGCCAATGAGATTCCACACAGGATGGGACTTGATGGAATTCCAACTGTCTTGATCTCAGCAATACTGCAAACAATATCTCCACTCCCAGCCCTCAAGGGATAGTGAGCATAAGAACCGTATCAGGAGGTCAAGTCTGCTCCTGTTACATTTGTCAGCTCTTGCTGGGGTATGGACGAGACTTGGGCTTGTTTTGAGGATTCCACCCAGAATAGCTGTTGATGGGTCATTCTTGTTGTGACTGCATTATCAGAAATCATTCTTCCGTTTTGCCTGGTTGGGCTTCAGCGTAGTGGAGCTGGAAAGAACTGTCATTCCCCAGCTCTGCTGAATCTGACTTGTCAAAAGGAAACAGGAGAGGCCACTGGCAAACCAGTTAGTTTTCATGCCCAGAGCACTCAATCGACTCTACTTTCCTGGTGGTGGTGCTTGATTTTGACCTTTCTGGGCCTTCTGTTAACTTAAGTCTCTCCATTCTCTCCCCTGCACCCTCTTCCTTTGAATTCCTTCTCCCATTGTTGCTTGTCCTTGCTTGACCTTCTGCCTGATTCTACCCTAGGCCTTGAGTTTTAAACTCCAAGTTTTGCTTTAGACCTCAATTTAAAAATGCAAGATTGCAGTCAAAGTGTTATGTACCACATGAGCATCTGGGAAGGATTTAATTCCTTCCTGGCCCAGAAAGGGCTGTTGGTTGCCACATATCTGAGAAAGGGACTGAAGAACTTCCAAGAGAAGCGATGTAACTTGTGGGCAGCTGGTCCTGGAAAAACATCCCAAGTTGACCTTAATTCTGTCAAGTGTCCTTTGCTTCCTATGAATAGGTGTATAGAAATACTTCTGATTTCTGTCACGTTGGAGTAAGAGAGGGGCAGGAGCATTTTCAGGGCTAAGGCCAGAGACGGTGGGGACTCAGTAGGTTTTCTCCCGTTTTACACCAGGTTCGACTGCACATGATGTGTGCAGCACATCCCAACATTGTCCAGATTATTGAAGTCTATGCGAACAGTGTACAGTTCCCCCATGAGTCCAGTCCAAGGTAAGATGGCACAGGTTCCTTCTGGTGCCATGGCATCCTTTTTGCGTTTAAGGCACATTTTTTTCCTCAAAGCACTTTGGAAATGGTATTGACCGTGTTTCAGTGACACTTTAACGGAGACATGTTGGTGGCCCCGACTTTTAAATTGCAAATCCGTTGCATTTTTTTTTTCTTTAATATACCGTCCTAAGCAATATAGCTTCTGCAGAACATTTGCCTGGGTCCACTTCATTAGAAGTACGGGCCTGTGGGGAGGTTAGCACTGGTTCTTCTTCACATCTTGATATTTTTTTTCCCATGTAACAAACTGGAATACTTTTAAAACCAGGTCTCGGCTTCTAATTGTAATGGAGATGATGGAAGGGGGTGAACTGTTTCACAGAATCAGCCAACATCGGCACTTTACTGAGAAGCAAGCAAGCGAAGTAACAAAGCAGGCAAGTTTTAACCCCCCAACAACCCCCCTATTCCGTTTCATATAAACAAAAAATAAGGGAGGGAGGAACGGTGCAAAAAAATGATTTCCAGGGGATGGACAGGGAACAGGCAAACTTTAAAATAAAAAGTAACACTTGATACTATCAAAAGATTGCCTGCATGGTTTCCCAGGTTTTGAGGGCTGAGGCACACGCTCTTTTCCTTTTTAATATCAAAGTGGAATGGTGGGGGGAACTTGAGGGTGCTGCCTTGCTGGCTCAGGAGCGATTGATTGAAACCCTTTGCTTCCAACAGAGGCTAATGGGAGCTGTGGTTCTCGCAGGGAAGCAGTGAGGTGCTCTTTTTAATGGGTTTCCTCCCTACTGCAGGACTGCTAAAACTCCCCTGCTTAGGATCCCTAAGCCCTTCCTCCAGCTGAAACTCCTCAAGAGAAAGAGGGCCATTTTCCTCAAGGTGGTTTCAGCCTGGCTTTGTACAGTTTAAGCTTACTTCCTGCCTGCTCCTCCCTCCCGAATTGGCAAATCATGGATTGCCTTGTCGAAGCAGTTTGGAATGGCCTCGGCACCACCAACTTCTCAAGAGCGCTTCTGTGACCGTCTTCTGACTTCTCGTGCTTTGTTTCAGATAGCTTTGGCTTTGCAGCATTGTCATTCTTTAAACATTGCCCATCGAGACCTCAAGCCTGAGAATCTTCTTTTCAAGGATAATTCTTTGGTAAGGTGGATGTTGATTTGTCTGGATGTTGTTATTTTTATTATCCTGGTATCAAGTCAGTGTTAGCAATGCAGTCTCCTTGTCTCTTGTTTTCCACCAGCTGTCGGCCTCCAGGACAGACAGGCTGGCTTTCTCCCTCCAGCCCACTGGAGGCAGTTTCTTCTGTCCTTTGACTTGTCCTCTTCCCTTGGTCCTTCCTGCCAGGATCCTGTCCTTCACCCACTCTTCTGTCCTGTGCCATTCAGCCCATTGACCTCTCTCTGTTCTGATTCTCTTGCTCCTGGTATCTCTTTCCATTCCTTCAGCAGCCCCAGAAACATTTCTGAGAGGGCATTTCATGTTCTGAAACTGACAGTTTCACTTAAGCAGTAGCACTGGCCTTGACAAGGAGAGAGAAGGAGAGAGGAACGTGAAGATTCTCTCTTCTTGCTTGCTCTAGGATGCCCCTGTGAAGCTGTGTGACTTTGGGTTTGCCAAGATAGACCAAGGTGACTTGATGACCCCACAGTTCACTCCTTATTATGTAGCACCTCAGGTGAGTACTTTCTGGAGCTCGCCAGCACCTTTTCACAGATCAGAAGCCCCTGCACGGCTAGGTCTAAAGATCGCCTGTGTCTCCTCTCCACGGAACAGGTACTAGAGGCACAAAGAAGGCATCAGAAAGAAAAGTGTGGGATCATCCCTACCTCACCCACCCCATACACATACAACAAGGTAGATTTCTGGCAGCCAAATACACTTTGCTGACTCTGCTTCAGTTGCGTAGAATGGATTTTCTCCAGGGTAGGAAGTGGTGTCCACCAAACATTAATATTCCTTTTCTTTTTATATCAGAGCTGTGACTTATGGTCCCTGGGCGTCATCATTTACGTGATGCTGTGTGGGTACCCACCTTTTTACTCTAAGCATCACAGTCGGACAATTCCGAAGGACATGAGGAAAAAGATCATGACGGGGAGCTTTGAGTTCCCAGAGGAGGAATGGAGCCAGATCTCTGAAATGGCAAAGGACATTGTACGCAAGTACGTCTGACGAGAGCCAGGGCTGGGAGCATTTGCCTCCTCTCGTCCGTTCTGTCCTCTTCTGCAAGCAGTCTGGTCCAACTGACAGCAGGGTTTTCTGCCTCTGCTTGGCTGCCCACCCCCCTGTTGGCTCCCTTGCCACAAACAAAAGCACATAGTGCTGGGGAATGGGGGTCTTCCAAATGTCCAAGAGTCCAGCATATCTAAAGCGTTCTCCATGCTTTCCCGCAATTTCACCCGGTGAAAGAGAGGCAGCCTTTGCAGGAAACACTCACTGTTGCTGATCAGCTTTCAGGAAAAGCCCGGTATCCACATCCCGGTGTTTGAAAACGGCAACAATTGACTAAATTGTATTTCTTTATTATTTTTACCGTAATGATTTTGAGTAGACTGCTTCACAGCCCGTGAGAAAGTCTTGCTTTGACCATTAATCAAATACAAGGAATCAGAAGTTGTCTGATGCTCATGTCAGTGCCAAGATGGGGAAAGAGAGGATGTGGCATTTTTATAGCCTGAGAAAGCAGAACTGGGTTGGCACTTGGCTAAGAAAGGTAGGCCATCAGCCATATATTAAGGACTGTGGTCGTGCTCCACCCATTTTAGAGCCTCTTTGGAAATTGCACCAAAGGCTGCTCGAAGGATGAAATTCTTGCCACCTGTCTGCTTGTAAACTGTTGTAAGGGACTTCTGCTACATTCTGACGCAGCCAGCTTAGAACCAGAATTCCTCTGTAAGTAACTTATTTTCTGATCCAGGTTGGTTTCATCGAGGAAGGGCAGCTATTGGTGGCAAGCACATTTAAGCTGGGAGGATCCTGAGCTGATTCTGCCTCTGTGGTTGCCGGTCCTCCCATCTGCTAAGCTGAAACAGCGAAGTGAGAGATAGGCGTGTAGGATGTGTGGACGCAGAGCGGTCAGTGAAAAGTATCTGGAAACCTTGGAGGGTCGACTGAGTGATGGGTTCATTTTTTAAAAACACTTAGGCTGCTGAAGGTGAAGCCAGAGGAGAGACTGACGACAGAAGGCGTTCTGGATCACCCTTGGCTCAACTCGACGGAGGCGCTTGATAACATATTGCCTTCTGCCCAACTCATGATGGACAAGGTTCTTAATCTTGTGAAATGGCTTATTTGTACACCAGTGGTTTGTTTAGTTTACTCAGGGGATTTGATCATCTAGCCTAGCTTTTCTTCCTGTCAGTGGTAGCTCCTCTCTACAGACTCCAGCAGAGAAGGTCCTTCATCACCTTTCAGTTGATGCTTTTTTAAGTAGAGGCATTGGGAGTGGGAACCTCTTGGTCCACTCCTGTCCTGTCAGAAGCTAAAGTCTTACATATTCCTAAACCATCCAGACTTTAGGATTTACCCAATGCCATCACAGAAGCCAAATCTTTGCGCAGTTGAAAACATCTGGGCCCAGGACTGAGCCACCTTATGGCACTGTTCCCACCACACAAGAGAGTTGCACCCAGAGACCATCTGCTTGAGATCATCACTTGATTCCCCAAAACAAGATCTAATTTGAAAGCAGGGGCATTCAAATTGGACCTTATTTTGGGGAATCAAGTGATGATCTCAAGCAGATTTGCCTTTGGGGATCTACGCTTCCCAAGGTGTTCTTGGCCCCTGTGGTGGTCCATGTCCTCTGCTCAGTCCCATCCTTGCTCCCGCTGCTTTGAGGTGTCACAGATTGAAAATCTGAACTCTTAACTACATCTCTCCAATCATAACAGGCCATGGTTGCTGGGATCCAGCAGGCACATGCAGAGCACCTGGCAAACATGAGAATACAGGATCTCAAAGTAAGCCTCAAGCCCCTGCATTCGGTCAACAACCCAATTCTGCGCAAAAGGAAATTGCTGGGGTGAGTTTTTGGGATTCTTCTGATGGTGGGAGGGGAGAATGGAAAATCTGGGCCGCAGGAGGAAATATTTAGCCAGGGCAGGGCATGCCCCAACCCTCCCCTGCTTCTCTCTGAGCACAGGCTGAAAGACTAATCGGGGGAGGAGGGTGTCCCTGAATCTGCCATGCCAGTTGTGCTCACATTTCCCTCTGTCGTTACAGAACAAAACCAAAGGACAGTGTGTATATCCATGATCCTGAGAACAGCAGCAAGGACTCCAACGTTGCTCTGGAGAAGCTTCGGGATGTGATTGCTCAGTGCATCCTGCCACAGGCTGGTAAAGGTTGCAGATCCTAAGATGAGCTGCTTTGGGGGCGGGGCAGTGGGGCGAGGCTGAATTTGTCATCCTTTTCGTCTCCAGCATAAGCCAGCTGAGTTGGAAATCAAAACTCCTGTTCTTCCTCGTGATAAAGACCAAGATGCCACTCCTTGGCTTTTGTTTTGGTTAAAATAACAAACTGCTGCTTTTTGTTCTAGCTAGATGTTGAGGTGGTTCCAGTGTGTCAAGGGAAGGTATGAGATCACATCTTGCAAGCAACCGGAGTAATAGCAAAGATTTTTTTTTTTAATGTGCAGTCTAGTTCTTTGGTTTGAAGCTAAGAATTTAAATTGCCTGGGAGAAATAGAAAAAGATTGCTGAGATGTGGAAGCACAACAGGGTAGAAACCAGACAGAGCATTTCCTTTGACTGGATTGACTTACTAAGGCAACTCCCCTTTCTAACACATTATGGCACTGTTTCTCAGCCTTGGCAACTTTAAGGCGTGTGGACTTCAACTTCCAGAATTCCCCAGCCAGCATGCTAGCTGAGGAACTCTGGGAGTTGAAGTACACAGGTCTTAAAATCACTAAGGTTGAGAAACACTGCATTACGGCGTCATTTCTCTTAAGTCCTTTATCCTGCCCTCTACTGACCATTTACTGTTTTTCACCATGTGTTCCTGTTCTCCAGAGTCTCCCAGCATTTTGGAAAGAGTGACAGGAAAATAATTGTTAAGCAAGTAAACCAAATACCTTGTCTTTCTGTCCTCAACCTTCTTTCAGCTTTGATTTTGACAATAGTTACTGTTCAGTTCAACAGGCTAAAGTTCAGCATTTTGAAATAGCTCCAGGTTGACAACGAAAAGTCTTAGAATGCTCAGGAGGGGTGTTTTGTTTTTTTCCCGTTCCAAACCAGGAGAAAATGAAGATGAGAAACTGAACGAAGTGATGCAGGAAGCATGGAAGTATAACAGGGAGTGTAAATTACTAAGAGACACCCTCCAGACTTTTAGCTGGAATGGTAAGTATCGCAAACCCCTTCAAGTGTCAAGAGAGCACAAATGAAGAAACATTAAGACTACCTTATCTCCCAACTCCTAATCCTCAGAAGGGTGCTTATTTCACAGGAGGATTATGAAAACTGAAAGTACTTAAGAGTACTTTAGAACTAGCAAATCTAGTTCTCCCCCCCCACCCCCAGTTGTGTTGTGATTGTTATTCCAATTCCCAGAATTGCCCCGGTATTGGAGATTGGGACTTCTGAGCAGCTTCAGATTTGTAACCTGGAGCAAAGACACCTCTTGTTAGTCTGATCTCTTTCTAAAGCTCTGCCAGATTTTATTGTTCTGCTTGGGACCAAAACAGCCTCTCTCTTCTGTCTCCATTCTTGCCCCGTCACAATCAAGAAATGCATTGGACAGACTCTTTTTTTCTGTCCATTTGTGTTTTCTGCTTTCTGGGCATTAACCCAAGTTCACATCTTATTTCTTTAGGTAGAGGATTCACAGACAAAGTGGACCGGCTAAAACTGGCAGAAATAGTGAAACAAGTTATTGAAGAACAGACGACCTCTCACGAGTCTCAGTAGTTGGAGCTGCTTGTTCTTATCAAGTCACACATACTCTCACCCCTTTTTTTAAAAGACCATTTTGTGGATTATCTGTTAAAGCAGGCTTGCCCAACCGGGTGCCTTCCAGATGTTCTGGTTTGGGATGATAACAGTGGAAAGCACCTGCTTGGGCAAGCCTGCTCTAAACTGTAAAAAGTATTTTTATGTAAATTAATAAGTCATAATTATTTCATTAAATTTTCACGCAGCTTGAGAAATGCTGTATAGATGTAGATAATGAGAATCATTGGTACTGTAATATTTTTTTAAAAACTCAGTTCCTCAAAATTATATATATATATTATATATTACATGATTTTTATGTACCACTTCATTCATGACTTTAAATGGGGCAAATTATCAATTGTGTTATCCTGAGTATCCACATGAGACAGTGTCTCTCCAGCTGCCTGTCACCAATGGTGTACCAGCTCATTTCTGTTGGCCTCTGTTGGCCTTCAGCTCAATAAATTACTTGAAGAAATCAGTCAGAGATTTATGAGCTACTCAGCTGCCTGGTCATTTCTTTCAAGGCAGCCATGTAAAAAGTGAGCGCATCTTGTGATTGCTAAAAAAGAAAAAGTGTTTCCAGGTCTCAAGGCCATCTCAAGCAAAGGGTTGCCTTTTTCTCTGCTTCCTTGCGCGAAGCGAAGGAGGACGGAAAGCTGCGGCTCGCTGGTTTTTACCAGTTCAGCAGAGAGAGCTGTACCTGTTTCTAGTTTTCTCTCGGACAGCACCCTTGCTTTTTCAGCCAGGCCTGGGGACAGTCCTACAGATTGACTTTGGTGCAGGTGCCTGCGCCCTGTAGCCGCTGAAGTGCTGATTCAAGGATATATGTGGGCGTCTCATTCCCCACCATCACCTCCGTCGTTTGCCGTCTCTGGGTGGTGGGTGCTTCTCCTCCTCAACCGTATCATCTCGTCCGGCTTCCTTGCTGTATTCTGTTTCTGCTTTCTGGGCTCATCACTCCAACGCTGTCTTGCCCGTCTCGTGGACTTGGTGTACTACAGCCGCTGTTTCGCTCCTGCAGTTTTCAGTGAGAACCGTTTGATGGGAAGGCGTGCAAGTGTGTGACTCTAGTTTTGGTTTTCGTTCTTTAGCTTGTGACAGGAAGCACAGGAAGATGTTGCCGTCGGGAGGGCTGTAAGGGCTAAGCCGCATCTGGAAAGCTGCAGCCTCTGTCTGCGGCTGGTTCGGTTGATAAACACTGACTTTCCATCTGGTCTGCAGATATCCCAAGAGTGCACGCTGAGAAACAGGTCAGGAAGTTTCTCTGGGGATACCCACAAGCATAAATGACGCCATGCCAGAAAAGGAGAGAGCGTTTTAATCCGGAGGAATGAAGTCCTCTGCCATAAAAAAACTGCAGAAGTAGGAAGGTGTTTTTCATGCTCTGCAGAAGACCAAAGTGAGGTGAATTTTAGCACCAGCTTTTCAAAATTGCCGGCTGATTAATTTCTTCAGTCAGTTAAGCAGAAACACTTTTATCCTTTTGTAGATATAGTGTTTTCCCACCAAGGATGCCCACGAGGTGGCATTCTGTTTTTCTACAGCGATTGGTATTCATAGTGTTGAAAGTATTTAATAAGCCTTTTCTTTGCGGCTTCTGTTTCTCGGTTTTCTCTAGCTTAGGGGAAGTTTTTAACGGATGCACTTTGGCTGGTGTGAATAGTCGGTCACAGAAGCCGTGTGGCACCATACGAAAGGCATACTTGCTCTCGCATTAGTTTCCCTACCCTGTCGTCCCCCAGGCGAGGAAGGTTTGGAGCTCCCAGGAATTCCCTGGCAGTCTCTTCTTTCAGTGGGAAGCAGCTGGATCCAGCAGCAGCTGCTGCCAGAAGACCACATTTGTCTTGCTGCGTTGGCATCCAGACCAGTTTCATCTTTTGGAAGATTACAGGGAAGCTAAGGCTGCCGTGAGAAAGCAAGGCTTGGAGATCAAATACTCACTTAGTTTTATTTAACTTTTGCTTGACTAGTGTGGGTTTTTTTTTGAGATGAAGCTTTTTTACTTCTCTCTGCCTGCCACCCTAATTCATTGAACTTGGCCCAGTGGCTGGGCTCTTTTGACCAGTTATTCTTTGCATGTGCTCTATATTTCACTGATCCTACGAGAAAGCGGGCCCCGGATTGCCATCTTGAAAGAAACAAGCCTAGGCGGTCGAAAGTCTCTCTCCCCTAACAACAACGCTGATGGTTCAAGAGGCATAGATCCATTTTGCATGCGTCAGCAGCTCTGCACTTTGCTCCTGAGAAGTGCCCACCTCAGTTTTGGCTGTCTCTGCTGGAGTGAACTGAGCGAGCTCCACACGGGCTAAAGAGAAATCTTCACACGGGGTAGGAATTATCTGCCACAATAGCTATTTTGTGAAATACGGCAGGAAGCAAATGGATGAAAATCATGTCCCCTGAACTACGCGTTGGCTCTGACCACCCACCCCAAATCCACCCTGGCATTAGTTCTGCATGATGCTGTACACGCCTTAGCTTTCGCCCACCTGAACTCCCCCGGATGTACGGGGACTACAGCTCTCATCATTGGGGGTTGGGCATTGTAGTCCAACATGTTCAGGGAGCCTCCGCTTTGGGAAGGCTGCTGTCGAGAATAGCTGTGGAAAACGTAGAAAATTTTTCCTTTGGAGGGAAAAAAAAAAGCATCCTTTTATCAAAAATACTAAAGTTTGGTCCTGGAGATGGATTTTACTGGGGTTTCCTTTTGCAAAGCTTTTCATATGCATCTCCCCCACCCTATTTTTTTTCTTGTACCTTCGGAAGGAAAAATCCGCACCGATGGGCAAAATCCCTAGAGATGATTGACGGTCCCTAGAGACACAGTCCACGAGGGTGTGTTCTGAGACTGGGAACGGCATTGCGCATGTACGTTTCTGGCCACGCTGTAGCCGACATTCAGCTGTTATGTTCAGTCTCGCCTTCCCCATCATCGTTTTGCCTTCATCACTTCTTTGGTCACTTTGCTGTATCACGGTTCTCTTTTTCGAATCAGTATTATATGAATGTAAATATTATGCATTGGTGTACATAAAATAATTTTAGTAAAATTTATCAAAAGCTTCTGTCTCAAGTTTTTTTTATGTCTTTTTAAACTAGTTTTGCATTTTTTTAAAGGTACCACTTGCTGGCAGATACCGAGTTCTTCTTTGCTGCCTTACATCATCTATTCTTTCAGAGTGAGATTGCAAGCTCTAATCAGTTTTGCGTTGCTTAAGGCCAACCCCTTTGTGATTATTTCAATCTCATAAGACACTGAAATAGCAAGACGGGGTTGACTAGTTCCTATAAAGACAGAACTGGAACTTAGAAAAATAACAAGGAAGGATGCCTTCAATTTGAAATAAAAAAAGAATCCACGTACAGCTGCTCCACAATTCAGTCCTGAATTTTTTCTGTTGTGAGCATGACATAGCTACGTCTATGAGAGTTGATACTGTCCACTCACTCTGTGAAATGAGAAGCTGGGTAGAATATTAACTGGAGCAGAGAGCTAGCAAGATACCATTGATTAGGTTTCGTCACCTTTCTAGGAAAACCAAGATGTGGATATGTTTTGATTGATGACGCTTCCGTGCCATCAAGTTGGTGTCGATTCTTAGTGACCAGAGAGATTTTCTCTGGGGCAGTATATATTCTGTACCTGTACCTTTTTTTCTTTTACATGGAGATTTTTCTGGCAATTCTTCAAAGGTAAAGACAATTTATATCCAAAGAATTGGGTATGGTATGGCCAGGACAAAAACTAAATTTGATTTCCTTTACAATTATAAATGTAATTAAAATTCAACACATGCTTTCTGATTAACGATATATTTAATAATTTCTCCATTTTATCACATTAATATTCCTCATTTGATAACTTCGGGAGGTGCCATCTCGGAAAAAAGACAAGTGACTGAAAGGTAACAGATGTTGATGTCCAGTAAGTCTGGGGAAGCCTCTTGTCAGAGGGGGTTAAATGGAATGTCCACATTTAAAGAGGTTGGAGAAACAGTTGCCCTTTGGAATCTTCCACTGGAGAAGACCCATCGGAGATAAATTGTGGTTGGATGGTTGAGTCCATTCTTTGCCTTCCTCTTTGCTGCTGTGATCTTTATGGGATTGATGACTGAGAAGGGGAGGGGTACAAAGCTCTTGAGATGCCCCTCCTTTCCCTAATGTCCTCTTTGTTTTAGCTCTCTAATTAAATAAAGATGGCCACCAAGCCAGAAAGTAGATGTGGCTGAAGAAGTGTGATGACTCAAGCAAGTGACGGTGATCGCAATTGCTTTTTTGGGGTGTGGATAAACTGAAATAAGTTCTCACAAAACTGACTTGTTTTTTCCATCGGACATCCACATCAGTCTCATCTCTGCTCCAAGCTAACTAAGCATGTGTAAGACGCAACACTGAGGTGAATCATGGCACGTGGTGGTAGAGATCTTGGGTGCTGGTTTTTCCTCCCGTTGGCAACCTGCATTATGTTGGTGGTCTTTACCCTTTCCACCATCCATTGCAGCTCATTGCTTCCTCTGGCATATACCTCTTATGAAGTGATGATTCCAAGGCGGTTGGCAGCACGTGGGGGAAAGACAAAGAAGGATGAAATATCCTACATCATCAAGGCAGCGGGAAGGGACTACATCGTCCGACTCAAGCCCAAAAAGAATTTCCTGGCTAAAAACCTTCCAATCTTCACATATAATTCTAAGGGGGAACGCGTTGAGAGCCATCCCTACATCCCAGTTGAATGCTACTATCAAGGCTATGTTGAAGGCATAGTTGATTCACTTGCAGTTCTTAGGACCTGTTTTGGTCTCACTGGGTTCCTGAAAATTGGCGCCAGGACTTACGGTATTGAGCCTTTGCGGAATTCATCTGCCTTTCAACACCTTCTCTATATCTCTGAAGAATCAGAGCCTATTTTCCCATCATACAGAATGGGAGTGGGAAGAACCACCCACCAAGCAGAAAAACTGGAGACCAGACAACTCAGATCAATGTACAGTGATCTCCAGTACGAAGGTGTTCCAAAATATATTGAACTATATGTTGTGGTAGACAAAAACATGTTTGCCCTAGAAGCAAACAATGTTACTATAGTGGAAACTACAGTGCTGGATGTGGTGAACATTGTGGATGCAACTTTCTATTCTCTCAACACGAACATTGTTCTCGTTGGAATTGAGATCTGGACTGAAAAGAACTTAATAAGTATGTCTGCGGATATCACACAAGTTCTTCAAAATTTCAATAACTGGAGAATAGTTAGCAAGATCCACAGACCAGCCTACGACACAGCCTTCTTGTTCCTTCATCAGACTTTTGGTGACATCTTTGGAAAGTCCCATAAATCTTCAATTTGCAAGCCGGGTTTTTCAGCGGGGCTCCAAGTCTACATCAAAAACGAAATGATCCGCTTTGCAAAGGGCTTTTCTCATGAGTTGGCCTATCATATTGGAATGGAACATGATGGCCCTTACTGCTTCTGTGGCAAGTATATAAACTGCATTATGTATACATATCACGCCGCTGTTAACCTGTTCAGTAACTGCAGTATTCTGAACTTCAGAGACCTTTCTGAAGCTGGTCACTTGAATTGCTTGCTCAATGTTCCTAGAATCCAACCTTCCAACCTTGACCATTGTGGGAATGGCATTCTGAATAATGGTGAACAGTGTGATTGTGGGGGAGCAGAGAAATGCAAACGTGATCCTTGCTGCGATCCTAATTGTGTCTTCAAGGCAAAAGCTGTTTGCGCAGTAGGAAAGTGTTGCCGAAGATGTCGGTATCTTTTCAAAGGGGAAATCTGCCGGGGCAAAGCCAGCGAATGTGATCTCCCTGAATACTGTAATGGGAAATCTGCAGAGTGCCCCAAGGATTTGTACATGCAAGATGGAACATCATGTGGCAAATATGCTTCTTACTGTTATAAAAACAAGTGTCAGAGCCATGCTTTATTGTGCAGCAGTATCTTTGGTGGACAGGCCACGGCAGCTCCGGAGAGCTGCTACCTTTTTCTGAATACCCTTGGGACTCAGTTTGGCAATTGCGGCAGTGATTCTATAAGGAAAAAGTATTTGAAATGCCAGCCCGAAGACAGCATGTGCGGAAGAGTACAGTGCGTAGGTGTGGGATCGGCCCCTGTCCTGAAAGATATGGAGGTGCATAAGCATAAAGTGCGGGAGGTGATGTGCTGGAGCACTGAACATCGTGGCGAAACCCATCACACTGATATCGGGGCTGTGCCTAATGGCATCCTATGTGCCCCACACAAAGTGTGCATCAATCGCCGCTGTGTCCCCACAACCGTATTTAATTCGAGCTGCAGCCCAAGGAATACATGCCGAGCCCGAGGGGTTTGCAACAACCTTCATAAATGTCACTGTAATATTGGATGGGCCCCTCCACACTGCAAGTATTGGGGTGCAGGAGGGAGCATCGATGGAGGATTTCCTGTGGTGACCCAGAGCACAGCCTTGGCAAAACGAATTTTGGGAACTGTGATTCCTTTTTCATTGGTCATTATTGCTGCTATTACCGCGATAGGCCCCAAAGTGGTGGAATTCTTGGCATCACTTAAAATGTGGTGGAGGCAAAACTTCAGGCCTGGCACTTTCTTCCTAAAATGTCTAGCTAGGGAGAGCACTGAACACCACAAAAAAGATGAACTCCCAGACAAGGGGAACCCTGCCAGATGAGGCTCCCTAGTCGTCATTGGAAAATTTAATTGAAGACCCCAGAGAAATTCACTCCGAAGTATTAGCTTCAAACTATATAATTCCCTTGCAATGAGCCCATCTAATAATAATAAAGTTAGCAGCCTGTCATTGTTCAAATAAAACTCAGAACTTTCCAAAACTGAAAAGAGCACTAACAGCAGAAACCGAATGAATATGCAAAGATAGTTTTGGTCACTGAGAAATCAAATGAAACATATTTTCCTCAGTTGAAAAGAGAAAGGAAAGGGTGGGGAGGAGTAATAAATTGGTTTCTATCACTTACAGATGAAACTTGTGAACCAGCCAGCTAAACAATGTCTCTTCTTAAACATCTCAGAATGTTAGGAAGCGCAAGTCCCAAGCAGCTGGAATTTATTCTGTATGAATCCAGACAGTTTGGTGACAGAAGAGAGGGGACCCGAAAAAGACAATCTGTTTTTGGTTATGAAAGTTACACGATCAGAGTTTAGAAGGGACAAGGGAGGAGGTTACAGACATTCGATCAGCCTCTTCCAGGGGCTGAGATAGTTTTAGGCTGAACCCCATATAGACCCCATAGAGTCGTAAGATAAATTAACAATCAGGCAATAACTATTCAGCAGTACTCAAATTTATCTTTAAGCTCCCCCCCCCGCAAGCCAAATACACATTGGTTGCAACTCAACAGTGTTTATGTAAATGAAACTAGAACTAACTTTAAAATGTTAGGAGGAGGAAAAGATGACAGATAAACTTGTGGTTCAGGGAAGATGTAAACCCAGTTAATTTTCCCTCTCCTATATTGGAAATACTTCCTGCCACCTTCCACAGCTGGTGACTTCTGAAGCCTTGAAATACCAACTTTAGGGAAAGAAAACTCAAAAGTGGCAGAATAAAAGAGTCTGCTTAGAGGAGCTTTAGATCAAAAAGAAAAGAGGAAGGGTCTCCCCTTACCTGGCATCTCACATCCCTGATGAATCTTAATGCCCTACTCCCCTTCCAACCAGGCTAGTGGAAACTCTGTTCTGATTTTTCCAGAGCAGGCCTGATTGTGGGAGGCCAGTCTTGAGGAAATTTTTTTTTAAAAAGGCACGTTATGTTTAAGGAAAAAGAATAATCGATTTGTAAAAAAAAAAAAAAAAAGGGCAATGAAACAGCCTCCAGTAAGGTATTGAACTACACTCCCAGAATTCCCACTCAAGTGCTATTAAAAGAAGATCCACCTTCTAATAATGCTAGTTAAGATCATCTGCACATAAAGACTTAGCACATTAATCTCTGCACTGGGGGTTGAGGGGTCTTAGGATGGGTTGAAAATTATTCCAGGGGACCTTGAAAAATAAAACAAAATTGTGCCTTTTGAGTTTTGGCATGAGTTTCAGGGGGGGTATTCTGGAGGCCATGAAATTGGTGTAAATTGGGATCACGGGAGGACATTATTTCCCTACAGGGTTTTTTTTGGGGTGGGGTGGGGAGGTTTAATACAGTAGGAAGATAAGGAAGGTGTGCTTTTTAGCAATTCTGGAATCAAAGAAACGGAAATCCATGCACTTGCTTTTTTGCTTTACTGTCTGGCAGGAAGCTGTAAAATATTCCACCAGCAGTGCTGAAATAAAAGGATAATTCCCAGGCTGGTGTTATTGCCCTGCAGACATTCCACAAGATCTCAGTGATGTTGTGTCCCATTCTTTGCAAAATCCTGGGAAAAATGTCTCACGGGGAAAACATTATACAGTATAAAAGTGAGTCCTCTCCACCTGATCCAACTGTTGTTTCCCTCAAATAAATAGTCATTATTTAAATATACAGGCTCTTTCAGTTTCTTCTTGTCCAGTTGCAACACTTCTACTTTTGGGGGGCTCCTCCAGGCCACCCCCTTAATTTAACATACCTGCTGCTGCCGACCCATACTTTGACTGCCACACTTCTCAGTGGTGCTGTGAACGAGTGGACCCAGAAGGGCTTTGGGGGGTCATCCATCCGACTCCCTCAAGGCAGGATCTAAAAAGCCTAGCCGGCATGGCCGATCAAAGCCTCGTGGAGCGATGGGAGTGGAAGAGCGGAGTTTAAAGGGTCAGTCTCTCATTCATAAGACCGTAGTTGTAGGAGCAGAGAAGGGTTTAGCCACAGTCTGGGGAAGGACAGGGAGCGTGCTGGCGTAGAATCTCTTCTGAGAACGCAGGAGTGGCGTCTGGGTGTCGACGTCACGGCAAGCCTGGCGTTTCACGCAGTGGAACATGTGCTGGGTCCAGCCGTAAACCGCGCAGTTCAGGAATCCCTGGGAAGATGCTGTCAAGGCCTAAGAGGAGAGGGAATACGCCTGGAGTCAGGCGGCTGTTGCCCGGGGCGGTAAGGAAGGAGGAACAAACAGGGCAAGTCCCCACTAAAGGTTAGCAACGTAACGAGTGCTGAGCAACGAGTCCTGCCCGCTAAAAGAAGTGGCACCACGGTCCCTGCTGGGCATGCCTGGCTGTAGAGATGCTTACCTCTAAAACATAAAGCGCCATGGAAACACTGGTGTTATCCATACGGGCCAGCTTGACTACTCCAAAGATAAAGGCTGGGTGGGGGGGAGGAATGGGAGAAGATCAGTAACAAAATAAATACAATAAGAATTGTATGACTAGTAGCTGCATCGCTGGATACATTAAACCTTTTTCCCCCCTTTAATTATTTCCTAAAAGGAAGAGGTACAGCTCCTCTTATCTTCCTCCAGCATAGCCAGTAATTATGCTGCCGGAGATGACGGGGAGTCCAAAAAGAAAGTGGTAGATGGGGGTGTGTGGCTGGGGACAATAATTCCGGTAGGCTTGATCAACATTTTAGGCTAAGTCATGGTTTGTTTCAACTATACTTTGGGGAACAAGCCAGAATTACCTGGATCACAAAGCCGAACCCTATGCCAGAGTTTACAGTCCACAGCAGAGAGATTCCCACACCTCACTAAACTGTAGTGATGTGGGCCCTCTCATGCTGTTGAACCAGGATTAATAAGCCACAATAGTTAGGTTCCCACATATGGCTATCTATCCCCGGTTTTCTGGAAGGGCTCACTTCCAAACAGACATGAGCAGAGTGCCTCTTTCATGGCACCATATTTCTCTGTCTTTCCATACCTGGCCCCCAGCAGCAGAAAAATACCACCGGGTACAGAAGCACGCCTTGTTCAACCACCTTCAGCATCGCCCACTGTTGATCGCCAACGTAGCCCGTGGAGTTCACAAACCGCTTGTACAAGGTCCTGGCTCGGATGAGCAAGATCTAAAGAATTGGAAGGGCATCAGAGGATCTCAGCCACGTGTCCGTGCCTGAGGAGGGAGAGCGTGGGGTGGAGGCAAAGGAGACCGGACTCAGATTCCTGCTTCACCCTGAACCCTTGGAAGGAATTTGACCCAGGCACGTGTCTGGCCTGGGTTCACTGCTCCCTCTAGGCCACGGGTTATTTAACCATGCTTTGTTGATTAAACTACAACGGGCTGAGTTTGCACAAGACAATGGCATAAACCATGGCGTCTAAACCACAGGAGGCGGTTCCCACATCACTCTAAGCCAAAACCAAGTCATACGTTATGATGGTTAAAGGGTGGTGTGAATCAGGCCATTGACAGCCTGTCTCAACCTAATTTACCTCCCAGGTTGCCCATGCAAATAAAACAAGGTTAAACACATATACCCAAAGGCCATATTCACGTCATATTTAACCGTTAGCCCAGCCCAACCATTTTCCAGTGGTTCTGGCTGCACATAAACACACTAACCAGGTCAAACACTGCCGACTGGGACTATGGGGTTTTCTCCCCCTTCTTCCAGGTGTTCTAGGAGCATCCCATGGGCCTTTATATCAGGAGAGTCCTATGGCATTGCTGGCCCGTTCCCCACTGGCTAAGAGGAGAAAGGGAACCACCACATTCAGCCATAAAATGGTCTATTAGTTTGGCTCTAAAACGTTACCTGGACACAGTAATTGTGCCTCGTTCACTCTGCTTCTGGACTTAGCATCTGTGTGAATTCAGACTCTGAGTCTTGTCCTTGCTCAACTATAATCAGCAGCCAGCCAGCCTAAGATGCCCATAGTCAGAAATGCAAGTTTTCATATTGTTTTGCCTTGCACTTTTTTCTACAGCATCTCTGCTTAGCCTAAAGTCCATCTGAAGTCCAGTTTACCATTTGGGAACAAAAACAAGCTCAGTTTTGTTCATGAAGCTGGACTCCTGGGTGTGGAAGCTCAGTTCCACATGCAGTCAGAGGGTGATGCATTCAATCAGTGTTAGGAAACTGTTTGCTCTCGCTTACTAGGAATGCAGAGGCAGTTGGGAAACATCAAACGTTAAATATCAGGGTAGGGAAAAGAAATATGATTTGTGTGCTTCACAGCTGAAAGCCCGCACACCTCTCCTGAATTTCCCCTCCCATAAGTGTGGAGGATCTGCAACAACGGAGGGAGATGCACCCCTTAGTGTGCCTCTTACAAGGATTGCGAGGAAGCTGGCCACGAAGGAGACAAGGAAAACGCCAGTGCTATACAAGCACAATGCAGTGCAGGTGACATGCTGAGAGCGGGCGCCGAGCATGTTTTCCATATGCAACAGGAGGCACCTGTGGGCCAAAGAGAAGCAAAGGGGTGAGCCTGGGAGGAGAGGTGCATTAGAAAACAGAATTGTCTGTCAGGTTGTGTCCAGACCTCTTCTGCGAAGCTCAGAAAAGCATGGGGGGTCCCACTGGGAGGCCTTTCAAGGTCTGTAAGACCTTTAGGAGATCATTATAGGGCCACTTTCCTGTTGGGACATCCCTTGCAGGGCAAAGTCTCCGTTCAGATACACGCCACCCCCAACTCTCTAAGCTCAGCAAAGTGTACCGTATTCGGATTGACGTACCCATGTTCTACGGTGAGGTTCTGGAAACATTGAAAGTGGTTGCCTAGTCCCAAAACCGGGACCACGAGGAGGATCGGGATGAGACTGGAAGTGGAAAAGAAAGGTCACTCTCCTTTTCAACATCTTTGAACCCCCAAAGCAATTGGAAGAGCTCCACTTGTCTTCCAGAGAGCTGCACTATTGGCCTAAATAGCAAGAGCCCTGCCAGATCACAGCCAGGGAGCTCCATGCAACCCAGCCTCTGGCTTTCTCCAAGTAGGGTGGTGAATCCCACAGCCTCCCCTCTCCCCCCACCCCCACCCCCAATCCCTCGGAATCAAGTGGCATTTGGAAGATGAACCTTACCTAGAGAAAATTATTGCTATTCGGCCAACGTGATTTGTGTAGCTCAACGTCTGCAAAACAGAGAAAGACAACACACCAGGGATTTAGCTCCACAATATGGAGTGTGTGTGTGTGTGTGTGTGTATCTAGCTAAGATTCAGGATTTACTACCTGACATGGATTTTAAACATTGGATGCAGGAAAGGAGAAATCAAATTTATTTATTTAATAAATGTACATGGCCGCCCAACACATATACATGACTGTGGGCAGCTAACAATTAAAACAGAATAAAAACAAAGTTAGAAAAAGCATAGATAGCATAAAATAGCAGGCAAGAAGAACCATAAATCTTATCATAGCCATTAAAAGGCAGAAGTGTCACATCCTTTTTCAGTAGACCCATTCTGCAGAACAATGACAGAAGCAGCACTATACGGGCTCAGTCTTAATAACAAACTTATTTTGATTCCTCAAATATGCTGAACCAATCATGGTTTAATTCTATACCTGGCACGTGCTGTACAAATTAATTGTTATTGGATATATTTATTTTATAGTTATTTATTTCATTATCTTTTATAACAGTCTATTCACACAAGCACACACACTCACTGCCAGTCACAGGGAGAAATACCCTTGTTCCCTAAAAATAGCATACTTTTTTTTTTTTGGAGCCATTGCCCAAATCCTGTGACACACTTCTTCAAACCCTGAAGAGATGGAGTTTTTAAAGGATGCTGAAATTGACCAGGTTGTTGAACTGATCTCAGAATGTTGGTCTGGGGACAGAATGTGCTGTTCCTAGTATGAGTTCTGTGCTTCTGATGAAATGGATTGTAATTTATGAAAGGCTAGGTGAGACTAAGTGGATCAGAAGACATCACAAGAGTTTTTGTTGTTTGTGTTACAAAAGACTAGCATGGCTATTCCTCTTGGCGTACCTTCCCTTCAAATTCATAGGGGCTTCTTGGAATAAACCAATATATTAGCAATTAGCCAGGGTTTTCAGATGGTGTTGTAAGTTCTTTCTCTGATTCTCTGCCTAGAGGCAGGCCCTAATAGTTCAGAAGGTCTGTGATGCTTGAAAGGGTTCCCACCAAAGACCGGATTTCAAAATGTTTTTGAAAGAATAAAAAAATTATTGAGAGTCAATTCTGTCCAGGACATAAACATTTTTCTTTGGTTCTGTTGTCACCTTCATCGAGCAGGCATTGACAAAAGTCTGACCCGACCTACAAAACTTGCTGATCCTGTTTAGGTAGGAGCCAAAGTTGAAGCAGAAAGGGCGTGGCCCTCTTTGGAGCAGGTCCAAGGCCCTCCAAATCTCAACGGCCAATGCACAGGAGTCATCCTTTTAACTGGATTCAATGACTTTAACTTCATTTTAATGGCACTGGAACGTCGATGGACTTCACTCAACTTAGCTTTGGTCCTGGCCTTGCTGAGTCCTATCTGGTTCAGCCTCGTTATTGGGGTTTGGTCTCCAGCACACGCTCACAAGCCAACAGGGGTGTCCGCAGGGAATGGTGCACATAAAAAACAGGTAGAGCTTGGATTGTGCCATCATGGCTGCCGTCTTGGCCACACCCTGTGGACTTCCCTGCAAGCCCAAATGGTCCTGAGTCCAAATAAGTGATATAGTTGCAAAGTCCCGTTATCTATGCTCAGATGGCCTTCCCATGGGGGCTGCTTCCAGACTGGACTTTTACTGCCCCATCAGCTCCACCTTATTCACGGACGTTTACAGGGAACCTCTCACTGGTAATCCTCTAGTGTATTTTCCCACTGCTCTTTTGTCGCACACACAGACCCAGGATCTGTGAAAAAGGGGAAGATAGACTTTTGTTCCTCTAAGGTTCTCGAGCAGGTAAGTGTCAAATATCTGGATACCTGCTGGGTTTCCCTAGCCTGATTCACCTTTTGTCTTCGGAAAGCAGCCGGTGTCTCTCACCCTTTGGGGAATGATGAAATCTATACCAATCCAACCATGGTTTCTAGCAGGAGAAGATGGTCCCTTGGGTTTTGTGGCTGGCAGCTGTTCTTCCTCTAGTCAACTGCTGATGACAGAGCAGGGGAAGCAGTTATTTTGCTTCTCCTCTAAGTCAGCACTTTCTCAGAACCCCACCCTGGTCCTGTTGATTCCCAAACGCTGACCTTGCTCCTCTACAGGGCTGCTCAAAGTGTGCTTTTCAAAGGCCAGTGACGACAAGATGTCAGGATTTGCGCCCAGCATTTCCTAACCAGCCTGCTTGGATTGCAGTGCTTTCGTAGGCTAACCCACCCAAATGTCCTCCAAATTTTGAACTTGAATGGAACTATGGAATCATGGTCCCATCAAGGAGCCAATCAACAAGCATCCATTAATGAGTCTGTCACATACACCTCTGACGTCCACAAGTACAAGGCGAACAGGTCTCAAGCACTCCCTTCCCAGCAACACAAACATGCTTTTGTACTCCTAATACTCTTATTCACGCCCTACAAGTCATTCCTTTAAGAGCATTTCCCTTCTCTAACCATTGCTAAGATCTTCTTCCATCTCCTGGAATGAGCTGCATTCTTTTACCCTATAGTCCTCAGACTTGCGTCGAATAGAGGGGACTCTTCTGAACTCAGCAATGAAGGCAATGCTGATAAGATGTCCAGTTGTTATCTATTGAGCTGGAAAGAACAAGTTGAATGAGAAATGCCTAGCTGCCTGCTGGATTCACATTCACATCCCATGGGATTTACACTTGGGATTGTAAGTGTAAATGTTTATTGGGGTGCAACAGAACTTGAACCAAGGGTGGATAACCATATCCCCCAGTCCTAATTTTCCAGACTGAACCACCAACATATGGCTGTGACGCCCACAGGTGGAAAACTCCAGTTCTGTCCCATTCAATGATCCATAGCCTCTGTGTCACATTCAGAGGCCAATACGATAATTTTCTAAACACAATAACATGGCGCTCCTGGATGCTTACCGGCTACCTGTCCCTGAATTATACTTCCAAGTATCCAAAAATGTAACCTCATAAACAAGGTTTCTAATTCAACCCATCTGAGTATCTGTGCTGTTTGGGAAGGGTCCCCTCCTTCAGACAGCACATAAATATATTTTGGCTTCATTTGCATAGCGCTTTGGGGTTCAAATCATGCTTGGGTTTTTAAGCAGAGAAAGTATCCAGCTTAAAAAGATTCAAGTCACTACGAAAGCAGCATTTACCTGTGGCATCTGGTTATGTACGTGCTGGTTAAATTTCACTTTCAAATCTGTGTAGAGCTGCCAGGTGTAATTAACTGTGTATAGAAAAGAGGCAACATAGAAGATCTGGGGAAGCAAAATAAACAAAAAATAACAAGGGATGTTTGGTCCTCTAAACTTGTCCTTTGTAAATCTGGAATAATTTGAGAACTGAAACGTGGCTATTTGCAACTTTAAACATCGACTTGACTTCTTCTTTTAAGAACAAGAATGCAAAGACCAGAAAAGTTGTGCTTATTAAAACCATTTCAAGCAGCTCTTGGACTGGAGCTTGCTAGAGGGTTGGAAAAACCTGGCGCCGTGTGGCTGCTATTTCCACAATATCTAAATTCAGAAGGTGGCTGTAAACAAACAGAACGGTTTATCAGAACCCTGCTGTTGCTTGTGGGAATTTCTGAGGGGCATCGAGCCAGCAGTAGTTAGAAATGGGATGTCAAACCAGGACGATTCTCAGATCATCTTCCTTGTGCTTGACTTCCCATTTTCGCCCTTAATTATCATTGCTTTTCATTTCTCTCTAATTGTGTTGGCCAAACAGGGTGGAATGTGGCCCAAAGCTTTCTAGGTCATCCGGAAGGGCCTGGAGATGCTGGTCTGCCAGCACAAGGGTCTTGCCACGTTTCAGCGAAAGACGGAATCCTTGTTTGGCTGGGTCAGGAAGCGGGGAAGCTCAGGAGAAAAATGGCTCTCTTAGAAATCTGGAGGTGGATGGGTGCCCTTGCTAATAAAGTGGTTGCCTGCATCATTTTATTTGACCACTCAACCTAAGAAGCATCCTGATGCTAGATCAGAACAAAAGGCTGGCTGAACACCGCATCCAGTTTCCGGCACATCCTTGAAAACTTGATCCCAAGGAAGCACAGGGACACAAAAGCACACCCCCATTTCAGGTGGCCCCAAGGCAACCCTCTCCAAGGGGGCAGGGTTTTCTGTATCTCTTGCCTGCCATCTAGCGGCTATCTGGAGTTTGGCAGCTGTTTGGAGCTCTAAAAATGTGGGCCACTACTAAACCCAGCAGGAGAGAGAGGCAGAAAAGTCCTATTTTTTTTTTCCCCTTCAGTCATCTGATGACTGCATCGCCGCTTGCAGCCCAGGCGTGGTAGCCCTACCCTGCATGACTGGCTTTGTGGAAGGTGGGGGCACGGAGCGGCAAGGGGAGCCCCTGTGCCTGCAACCCCCGAGGCAGCTGCCTCCCCAACCTCCGCTATATTTGCACTACTGCACACAGCCTTTTGCAGCTTTAGTCTCGTCACTGAGTAAAAACCAAAAAAGAGCAACCTTCATTGCACACACACAAAGCGAGCATAGGGATGTGGCTGCACGTTGCCTAAACTTCCCCCTTTTTAGTACGGTTGGGTCTCTTAATATACCTGCAAGCAATTTTGATGTTTTGTTAGGATTTTCTGACTTTCTCACGAAGCATAAACAGCTCCAGAAGGAGCCAAACCCTCCCCTAAAGACATATGTGAGGTTGGATTTTCCATTTCAGATGGAAAGACTCACAGAAACAGGAAGACGCAATTTCCTGGCGTGGCTGATGGAGCATTAAGTAGCGTTCCGGAAAAACAGCACAAAATCCCAGCTGATGCACATTAATTCTCCCAGTGTAAATAATTGCTGGTTTTGTTTTTAAAGAAGGAAACCTAATTCAGGAAAGCTGCCAGAGTGTGTATATAGTTCTTTTTCCTAAAAAGATCCCAGGATAAACAAAGGCCTAAGTCATCAATGCAGTCCCCCTCCCAGTTCCCATTTTTTTTTTTCCTTCCGCTAAACATGGAAAATGTTGGATGTTAGTTTGTTGGATAAACCATCTCCTATAAGGTTGATGAAACTAAATCTCATCTAGGAAAGCAAACTTCTGGGACATTTTATAAATAGATATATTTTAAAAATACCTCATAAAAAGTCATACTAGTATCACTTCAGTCTATCTTCCCCAACCCAATCCTCTCCAGATGTCTGGTGTCCCCAAATAGCATGAAGAATATATTGGAAGGGAGTGAGGTTGATCAACACTGAATTAAATCTTTCTGTTGCTCTATCTGTTCAGTAGGTTTATGGGTTAAGCAGGTCTCTGCTAACCCGAGTGACAACACCATTGCCTCATGGCCCGATAATTAATATTTGCAAATGGATTTTGCACTTCGAGACCTGGCTGGGCTTTTTCAAGTTCCCTGATTTAGCTGCCAAACCACACATCTTGTGAAAGAGGCAAACACCAACTTCTCTTGAGAGGGAGCTTAAGGTAAATATTCAAACTGTACAAGAACCCAGTGGGCTTTTGCTGTTTATTAACATTATTGGTAATTGGTGCAATAACCAACATTATAGGGTTAGATTTTGGGGCAGATTACAAAGCAATTTTAAAAACAGCAGAAAGCAGGAAAAGCAACCAATAAATTAATAAACAAGTTTTGTGGTGGTTTGGAATTGCCTTTCTATGAATAGGATAGTTAAATGGTGACCTGCTCAAGAGAATAATCCAGGACTCAAACTTGTCAAAGGAAGATACACGGAACTCTGAGTTATTTTTATCTGAACTGCCCAACTAGCCTCAGCTAACTTTGCGGCATCTCTAACTCTGAAAGTGAGGAGAGGGATGCAGAAAGGAAAAGGCTACGCGCAAGATCATAGCTGATGTGAGAGAGTGTTCGTAGCACTATAAGAAGCATTCAAAGGTTGGCATGTCAGCGATAGACTGAAGAAAAGAGGTTACTAATAAGACATTTTTTTTCACATCCAATATCCAAATTAAAAGGGAAGCACCCCCCCCCCTAAACCACAGCTTTCTCTAAACAGTCTCCAGTTGTGTTGGGATTGCAAATCCCAGAATGTCCAGACTTTAGCCATGCTGCTAATTCTGGAGTCCAACGTACCTAGAGGCTGGGAAACCTTATCTAGAATCTTCTGCAGAAACCTTGCCTCTTTACTCTGTATGTTCTTGATGCTTTTAACCCAATATTTCTCTAAAGCTTTTAGCCATTCAGCATGGCAGGTCAACCCCAACACACTATTCCTAAAATGCAAAGATTGAAAAACTGACAGCAGATTGAAGCAACTGGATTGCAGGCTTGCAGGACAGCCTCTACCGTAAGCGGCTGTTCCCCCAATTCATGCTGTACCACAGAGACCCTCTTTGCTTGCAGCAAGAAGCACACGTCCAAAACACACACTTTCCACCCCACTAAGGAGCCAGAGATCAACTCAGGCTTCACCTGTCCTGTGGCTTGCAAGTTGTAGCAGGAGCTTCCTTCTCCAGTGGGATGGGATGTTTCTCTGCTATAGAGAAGGGCCCCCGTGAGCCAGCACAGCCCCAGGAAGAGATCGGAGAGGCTCAGGTAGAAAAGAGGGCGCACCTGTGGAAGGATCAAAGCGAGAGTTACCCTGGTGATTTCCATTAGAGCCTTTCATTAGGACAAAATTTGGAGACCTAATCATGTACTGAAACCATGATCTAACCGTCTGAGTTTCTGTTTCTCACTTCAAAGAGAATTGACCACAGACTATGTCAACTCTTAGATGGGAAACTCTGGTTTTCTTCCCCAATTGCCTCGCATCCAGATATACCGCTTCAAGTCAAAGTGTGTACAATTTAACACAAGTAGAAGAGAGTAATAGGGAAAACTACTATCCTGGTAGTTTCTAAATGTGGTGCGAACGGCTGTGCGCAAGGTAGATTTGCAGTGATATAAAATGATCCAGCAGAGAAGCTGATACTTGCTGCAAAAATAGATAGATGATAGACAGACAGACAGACGAAAGATTCGGCTCTGTAAATTGGCTCTTGTACCAGCAGGGCTGTCAGGCAACTGCAAATGTTTGGTGAAATAAAAGTGAGCAAGGTATGGTTCAGCCACCAGCTTCTAAAATTAATATTTGTTTTAGTAACAAAGTGGGACGGTACTTGAACATTGCAAACATTCTTTAGAAGGATTGCTGCTCCTCCCCGCCTGATATGTTTCAGAAGGCACCCATTTGCTTTTTGTATTTTTCTTCTTCTTTTCATCAGTAAAAGAAGTTCCCTTACCTCGGGGGATCTGGCTGTGTTCTGGAATAAGGCGTAGCCAATAATCGAGCTTGACCCCATGATGCTGTGGAAACAAGGGGTGGATTGGTGGAGTTGCCAGCTTTGATAAGTTTTATAGAAGCTTTATAGGTAGAGCTTATACAAACCTCCCTTCAGCCAAACGAATTCATGCTTGATATACATGACATTCACATTTTATCGTAACAAACGCAAAGTCAATTCAGTCTAAGAATGACTGGAAATAAACGCAAGAACGACCAACAAAAGCAAATAAAACATAACAGAAGATTCAGGGCCACCCGTGGCATTCAGCCACCTCCAAAAAGTGACACATGCCTGGAAACCCCTCCTGAAACCCCCAACCAGGTTATTTCCTGGCTGATCTGCTTCTGAGAGATTCCCTTTTGGCCCCGTACGTCTTAAGACAGAAGGCTGTGTGAAATACCTTAAAGTAGCCGTGACAGCTTGGATCCAGTGGATGACAGCAAAAAACTGGGTGGGGAAAAGAGCGAAGTTAGATAAGGCATATCCCTACCAGCTAGGTTGTTTACAGCAACCTTCTGCCCCACCCGGGACCCTCCTGAGGGGCGGAACTGCAGCCCAGGAAAGCTGCGATGGGACAGGACCTCTTGGTCCTCCTGCGCTGCTTCCTTTCCTCGGCTCAGCAAGGGTTCTTTCAGGCCTCAGACAGGGCGAGTCTTTTCCACCCCTTGTCAACCCGAGACCTTGGCACTCTTTCCACCACAGACGGAGAATTGATCATCTCTTTTCAGGAATAACTGCAGCCAGCCCATCAGCAAGCTCAGATTCTGCGAAACGGTAAGTCATTTCACCTCCGGACGGTGTGAAATCTCTACCCCGTTGCCCTGGGTTTTGTGGCTCAAAGCTGTTTCCTGTGGGACCGTAGATCAGCCACACATGATGGAGGAAAGAGACTAAAACGTTCGAAAGGCAAACGTCTGGGGGTCTCTAAGCACCATTCCGGCTTCTTGGACAAGCCAAGGTCCTTTCGTCAAACAAAGTCCCTTGCCCCTTGGAAAAGGACACGCCTCTTCCAGACCATGCCTAATTCTGCCTTGTCGCCTATCAGAAGATTGGTCATGTGCACGGAACGTCTGGAGCCATCGGTCCTGCACGGATGCGTTGTGCAAAGAGACGGGATCAGAGGTGAAGTTGGGAAAAGGCAGAGAGAGAGAGATGGAAAGACACGCAGAGATAAACAAGGCCAGACATTTAAACAGGAAGAACGTGAAGCTCAAGGAATTAATGGGTAGTTTTTAAAGAGCACGGTGAGTTTATCTGTGGGAAAATTGGCAGAGAAACTCTCCGTGGGGCAATTTTTTCCCACTGTTCTCTCTACCTCTATAGATTTGTCTTTTGTTCTTTTTGTTAAGAGCATTACCACACCACCAACAAAAAAGATTGCTGGGAGGGAAAGTGAAACTCCATGAGCAACAAAGGGAAAAACTGGCTGATGGAGAGAGAGACCCATTTCCGAGTGGATGACAAGAGAAGATGCTATTGTGGGTTGGGTGGGAAAAAAAGAGAGGAAAGAAAGGGGGAGGGAGGGAGGGAG